AAGTTAGGGAATGTGACATTCCAATGACAGCTTTTAGAACCAGATATAAGCATTATAAGTTTTTGGTCTTGTTTTTTGGGTTAACCAATGCACTAGCGGCGTTTATGGATCTTATGAACAGAGTCTTCAAGCGTTATTTAGATATTTTTTTTATCGTCTTCATTGATGATATACTAATCTATTTAAAGAATGAAAAAGATCATGCTAGTCACCTCAGGATAGTCATTCAGACTTTGAAAGATAAGGAGTTGTATGCCAAGTTCTCCAAGTGTGAGTTTTAGCTTAATTCTGTGGCGTTTTCGGGCCACATAGTTTAAGACTATAGAATAAGAGTGGATACCCAAAATATAGAAGCAGTTCAGAGTTGTCCTAGACCCGCGTCTCCAACTGATATAAGGAGTTTCTTAGGTTTGGTTGTCTACTATAGAAGGTTTGTTGAGGGGTTTTCATCTATTTTGTCTCCTTTGACCAAGTTGATTCAGAAGACAGTTAAATTTCAATGGTTTGAAGCTTGTGAGAAAAGCTTTCAGGAATTGAAAAAAAGGTTGACTACTGCCACAATTTTGACCTTACTAGAGGGTACTCAAGGTTTTGTGGTATATTTTGATGCATCTAGAGTTGGGTTGGGTTGTGCGTTAATGCAGAATGACAAAGTTATAGCTTATGTCTCCAGACAGTTGAAGGTTCACTAGAGGAATTACCCAACCAATGACTTGAAGTTGGTTGTTGCAGTATTCGCCTTGAAGATATGGCGTCACTACTTGTATGGAGTTCATGTTGATATATTCACTGATCACAAGAGTTCACAATATGTGTTCACCCAGAAAGATCTAAATCTCAGACAGTGGAGGTGGTTAGAATTACTAAAGGATTATGACATGAGTATTCTTTACCATCAAGGTAAGGCTAATGTGGTCGTTGATTCTTTAAGCAGGTTATCCATGGGGAGTACCGCCCATGTTGAGGAAGAAAAAAAGGACTTAGCTACAAAGACTTGCACGCCTACGAGTCATACTTATAGATTCCACAAAAGGATGAATAGTGATAACCAATGGGTTGAATCATCACTAGTGTCAAAGGTGAAAGAATAGCAAGACCAATACCCCATTTTGCTTGAATTGGAGGCAAATGTTCATAAGCAAAGGATATTAGATTTTGAACAAGGGGGAAATGGTATGTTGAATATCAAGGTAGATTTCGTGTACCTAGGGTAGACGGACTCCAAGAGAGGATCTATAAGAGGATCATAGCTCCAGATATTCCATTCATCCGGGTTCCACATATATGTACTGCAATTTGAGAGAGGTATATTGGTGGGAAGGTATGAAGAAGGTCATTGTGGAGTTTGTTGCCAAATGCCTGAATTGCCGGTAAGTGAAGTAGAACAAAAAAGGCTTGGAGGGTAGGCTCAGAATATAGAATTGCCAGAATAAAAGTGGGAGATGATTAATATGGACTTCATCAAGGGCTTGCCATGATGTCGCAGGTTGCATGATTCAATTTGGGTAATTGTCGATAGAATGACAAAATTAGCCCACTTCTAGCCGGTAAAGGCCATTCATTAGGCAAAGGATCATGCAAAGTTATACATTCAGGAGGTGGTGAGACTTCTTGGAGTCCTAGCTTTGATCATTTGTGATAGAGGTGCATAATTTATAGCTCAATTTTCGAAGTTGGCGAAAAAGGGTTGATAGGACGAAATCTAGTTCACCAAGCCATGGAGAAAGTGAAGGTGATTCAATAAATATTAAAAATAGCACAGAGTCGTCAAAATTCTACACAAATGTTAGGAAAAGGTCGATAGAGTTTGAAGTGGATGATTGGGTATATCTGAAAGTTTCACCCATAAATGATAAGGGGAAACTTAGTCACCGGTATATTGGTCCTTATAGAATATCCAAGAGAATTGGCAATGTAGCTTATGAGTGGGAGCAACTACAAGAGTTAGCAGTGATTCATTCAGTATTTCATATCTCCATGTTGAAGAAGTGCATGGGTGATCTTTCATTGATTGTACCAACTGAAAATGTTGGGATTAAGGATTGCTTATTCTATAAAGAGATTCTGGTTCAGATTTTAGATCGCCAAGTTCACAAGTTGAGAACAAAGAAATTTGTGTCAGTCAAGGTCCTTTGGAGGAACCAATTTGTTGAAGAAGCGACTTGGGAAGCAGAAGAGAATATGAAGAAGAGATACCCATCTCTTTGAATAATGGAGAGAATGCAGATCAAGGTACTAATTCTCTTCTAATTAGTACTTTATAAACTATGAGTAAGTATATTGTTACTTAATTTTGATTGTTGAGGTTGAACTTGAGGTTACTATTCTTAGCTTAGTGAAAGAAATCTCATTCAAGGATGAATATTCCTAAGGGTGAGATATTGTAACACCTCATGAAATAGCTATGAATAAGCTAAGAAACAAAATATAATCACTTTTGAAAAGTAATGGAAAATTTCCTAAGTTAAGAAGTGAGTTCTGGTCATTTTCAAACGGTCATAGCCCCTAGCTCAGAATTAGTTAGAGGTAATTCTTGATATGGATGGAAATCTCTTGGAGATATCTTTCTAACGCCGCTGAGTTTGTACATTTTCGATATCGTATGAGGGAGATATATCTATCAGATGTTGGGTTGTTGGATTAAAGAAGGTCCCTATCTGGATTTAAGGGAGGGAAAACTAGTCTTTCACCAATTGATTTTCTATTTCATTTTAGGGATTTATTTAGGGTAAAAACAAGTTTAGTTTAGTTTTAGAGAATCAAAATCACGCTTAGGGCTTGAAGAAGAGAGAAAAGAGAAAAAAAATGGAGAAAAGTCAAAAATTCGCTAAGAACGCCAAGGTTTGCGAGTGGAATCTGTCGGGAGTGATCCCTATCAAGGTATGTGAGATACTTTTGTGTTGGATTAGTTCAACCACGCACCAACTTGTTTAAATTAAGCAATTTGAGTAAGGTTGAATGATAAAAAGTGAAATTCTTAAAGAACATTGTCGATTTCTTGTTGGTTGAGTTGTTGCATGCCTAGTGTGGATTTGATTCGAGTTTCTGGGTTGTTTTTGGAGTCAAATCTATTGGGTATTGAGGGTACTAATGATCATAAGTGTTGGGGAAAGAACCTTGGAAGTTTAGAGAGTTTAGAGAGTTTAGAGATGAGAAACAAAGAAGAAAAGTTGAAACGCCTATCCTTAGGGCCCTGGGCGCCACGCCTCCCATAGCCCCATAGGACAATCTCTGTCCGTAGGTCCTTGGGGCAGCGCACCATCCAGAGCGCCCCAACTTGGCCTCTTATGTTTGGGGCCTGGCACCCCACGCCTCTTAGAGCGCCAAGGACGCAAGTGCACCCCATTCATTCCCCACTTTTTCGTACTAGTTCCTAAGTGATGTACCACGTTTCTTAGTTGATTCCAAAACTCTAACGTACATCTAAAAATCAGGAATCATCCATAAACATGAAATGATGAATCTTGAATCCGTAATCCAATTCAAGAAAAGTTAAGATCAAAGTCAAAGAAGTTAATAGCTAAGTCTAAAAGTTGAGGAGTGAGTCAAAGCAAAGTTTCTTAAAGTTTTCAAGTGTCTCTATTAAACATTTAAACTTAGTTTTAAGGCTCAAGTTTCAAGTTAAGTAAGGAGTAAAAAGTTGAAAATATCCTTAGGGCCCTGGGCGCCACGCCTCCCATAGCCCCATAGGACAATCTCTGTCCGTAGGTCCTTGGGGCAGCGCACCATCAAGAGCGCCCCAACTTGACCTCTTATGTTTGGGGCCTGGCACCCCAAGCCTCTTAGAGCGCCAAGGACGCAAGTGCACCCCATTCATTCCCCACTTTTCGTACTAGTTCCTAAGTGATGTACCACGTTTCTTAGTTGATTCCAAAACTCTAACGTACATCTAAAAATCGGGAATCATCCATAAACATGAAATGATGAATCTTGAATCCGTAATCCAATTCAAGAAAAGTTAAGATCAAAGTCAAAGAAGTTAATAGCTAAGTCTAAAAGTTGAGGAGTGAGTCAAAGCAAAGTTTCTTAAAGTTTTCAAGCGTCTCTATTAAACATTTAAACTTAGTTTTAAGGCTCAAGTTTCAAGTTAAGTAAGGAGTAAAAAGTTGAAAAGCTTCCTTCAAAGAAATATAAGGGAACTAAGTATTTTCTAAGAGTTGAGCTAAGACACAAGTTTCAAGCTAAGAAAATAGTAAAGATGTGAGTTCATTTCTCAAAAGTACAAGGGAACTAAGTATTCCTTAGAAAGTTTATAAATGTTTTCACATTTAAGTTAAGAAGAAACTATGGTTTCCTAAAAGAATTTTGACCAAGAAAAGGGAACATTGATTTCAAAAGAGGTTGCACGTCCCAACACAAGAAGATCAATTACAAGGTATATAGTCATATCTGTGGATTCTATAGTATCATGAAAATCAGAGAAACAACAGATAATATCCAGAAGCTCAGCTGAAGCTGAGTATAGAAGCATGGATTCAGCTGTAGCAAAATTGACTTGGGTACTAGGACTGTTCAAAGATCTTAATGTGTCTATACAGATGCCCATCACAACACTGAGTGATAGAAAGTCTGCTATTCAGTTAGCAGCAAATCCTATCTTCCATGATAGAGTAAAACACACTGATGTTGATAGTCATTTCATTAGGGAGAAATTAAAGGCTGGTTTGATTCAAACAGTATATGTACACTCACAACAACAAGAAGCTGATCTGTTAACCAAAGGGTTAAGTCATGCCCAACACTTGTACTTGTTTAGCAAGCTGGTAATGCTTAACATATTGTTAAAATGTACATCATTTCAGTATTTCAGTCGTTACTGTACATAGTTTAGAATTTCACATGAGTATTTGCAATCACTCCTAAGGCAACAATGACAAGAAACACATAGATTCAATATGAGAAGTCCAAAAGTTACATTTAGTATATGTGTTCTTATGAAGCTAACTTCCAAGTAACAGCTCAACAATATGTTGTGTATTGAATCAAAACCAGAAAGCAAGAGCACAACACAAGTTTTAACATTTTTATGTCAAACAAATCCCTGTTCAAAGTACATCCATTTTGTTGAAGGTTAATTAAACCACCTTTCACATCTCTCACGTAGTAGAATTATAAGCAACAAATACCAAAAAGATGTACAAAAAATGAAACCACATTATTTGGAGTTGTGTATTTTGAAGGAGCACAGTTTAATTAATTATATAATTAAACAATTTGTATACTAATAATAATATAACTAGAATTAGAACCTGATCAGATAGGGTAATTATCTTTTCATTTTTATTGAGGTTAGTAAATGACCACTTGAGCTCCAATGATAATAATGTTTGATCTATGTGAAGATTTGGCTTCAAGGCTACTTCTCCATCTGCAGACCTGAATTTTCCATCACTCCATTCCTATTAACAAACGACATTGAATTTCAGATGAGTAACATTCTTCCTTTAGAAGATGAGAGAAGTATTGAAAACATTCTAAATTTGACGTGAATGCTAATTAGTTTCATCCATTAACTATTGACGGTCTTAGCAACACCCATCTACTTGATTAACTGAACTTAAATATACCATGATATTGTAACTGAGTGAATTACACTCCTAAATTCTGTTCATGTTAAGAGACATCTCTCGGCTTTTTATTAAGAGTTTCATGCTCCTATAAGAGTCCAAGATAACTTGCTATGTCATGTGACAAATCGAGGGTGCATTTAAGTTCAATTAGTCAAGTAGAGGGGTGCTTTTAAAACCATCGATAGTTCAGAGAGAGAAGTAATAAAACTAGTATTTTTCTAGCTAAGAAACTGGACAAATGTTTATATTACTTCGTAGAAAAAAGGACTACCTCAAGTTGATCTCCAATAGTAACAATGATTGTGTCTGGGGTGGTGTTAAAGGGCAAACGACCACGTTTTGAATGCATAGAGAATTCAATTGGTTCCAATGGAAGAAATAGATGCAATGCATATTTAAGTGAATCTTCAAGTGTTGCATTGTGGGGTGGAAGCCATGTTTGATCCACATTGCTTGATTGATTTCTAGTGCATCTGTATATGTACATTTTCGCTTCTTCTGAATCTATTTTTTTCCAACATTGTTCATTGTCACTCAATCTTATTATTTCATCCACTTCTTTTGCTATTCCTTTTAATTTCTTCAATACCTCTTCCAACTTTTCCCTGCACCAAAAGTTATATTTATCATTAACAACCAAAAATGCCACTATTTTTCTATAGTGATGACATAAATTATGTCATATATGGTGAGATAACTAATCAAATGAACATCCCAATTCATAAGATGACTTTTGTCTATCTCGGGTGATTGGTATTGAAATGTGTGACCATTTAAATTAAAAGTTTAAGCTATTAGAGAGAGTATACTTTTATTAAAAATGTTCTCAACACGCTTTCTCACAGACCTGATTTTTATGGGCCATAGAATTTTTTTTGACATGGGTGGAGGAGAGATTTGATTCCAAGACCTTTGTCAGCTCTGATAACCTAATGAATGTGTGGCAATCTCATTTAAAAATTTAAGCTATAGGCGAGAACACACTTTTAATTCCATTTTTTCTTGTTTGATTTGTCAATTTTATTTTATAAACATTCTCTAAAAAGAAATAGTTCCTAAAATATGAGGAGTATGCCTTCCCTAACGAAGATAGAGAAAACAAGTTTGTTAAGTAACATTTCAAATTTTTTTGTCTTTTTTCTGCCCATCCAACACCCCCTTTCCCCCATTGACTTTCCTACCCATGTCAACCCCCACTTCCCACACCATCTCACTCCTATAATACATTTCACCCATAGTGCTAAATACATATAAATATATTTATAATAAAAATTTTAGCTTACTTTATCAAATATAAGAATAAATAAGAAATTCTCTTTTTTTAAAAAAAATAAATATTTTTGTATCATTAGCGCTTAACTGTTTTTTGCACATAAATTACTACATAAAATAGGTTCTCCAATAATATATTTGAATAAATTCCTAAATTTAGTACATAAATAATAATGTTTATCACAAAAAGGCCGTACTTGACATATATAGAATAGGTTCTCCAATAATATATTTGAACAAATTACTAAATTTAGTACCTAAATAATAATGTTTATCAAAAAAGACCGTACTTGACATATATAGAATAGGTTCTCCAATAATATATTGAATATATTACTAAATTTAGTATCTAAATAATACTCTCCTAACGGTATCTAAATAATAATGTTTAAGAACTTGACTAATATTTTAAGATGTATTTTTTCATCATATTGATATGCAAAAAATTGCAATTTATAGTACTTTTTATATAGTTTTTGAATATTAAAATATCAAATTAATGTAATCTAATTTAACTTTGAAAATTAGTCAAATTGACTTTCAAAATGCGCATAATAACAAATAAAAGTGGAATGTAAAAAGGAGGAGTTTACATTTAATTAACATCCACATAAATAATACATTTCATAACACCTTTCAAATAGTTTTAAAATGTTTTTTTTTCACTATAACAATAACAATAATAATATAAGGATGCAGATAAATTTTTAGATATACTTATAAAACTTTTTGGTCATTTATTCTACGTTACTTTATTGAATAATTATAAAAGTCCATAAAGAACAAGTATTTAATAAAAATAAATTAGATTTACATGGCAGTCAAATGCAAACGGATCTGAGCTAATATTTTTCTGCTTATATTTAGGATTCATAGGTAGAGTGCATTAAAAAAATAATACATTCGTATTATTAGATCATTTAATTCAAACCTAATTTACAAACATGGTAACTAGCAAATTATAACTTAAATGGTGAAAAACAAACTTTTATGAAGGGATCAACGATACACGTTATAAAAAATCAATGTTATAGAGAATACCTGAAAATTAGAAAATTTGCATCCCCTAAAGCAAATTTGGCCTTTTGCACCATTGCATCATCAGACCAATCCCAAAGGAACTTATCATAATTAGCATACTTTTCACTTAATCGAAACAATAATTCATTCTCAATCAACAATGTTCTTATGTCCTCACTAGATATCCCATGACCAATAATCCGAACCACTCCGAATTCAGCAGCAGAACTCAATAACCTAATCATCGCGTCATTTTCCCTTTGCAAAATCGATTGATAATTGATTTCATCAGGCATCCAACGATGATGAGGAGTAGTTTGGGGGAGTCAAATGAGGAATGTTTATGGATTGATCAATGTACTCTCCAAACATTGAATTGACAGCCGAACGCGATCCTTTCCCCGTGGGGATCGGAGATGGTGGTGGTGCTGCATAAGAGGAGGGCAAAGGTTTTCTCAAATTCATTAATTTTGATTGATGATTTAATGAGAAAATGAAAGTGAAGAGTTGAGAAAATTTTAGTTTGGTGGAGAGGGCCTTAGTGGTGGGGGTGCTAAGTCAAAGAAAAATAGTTGTAGTAGTAAGCACGTCTTGCTTTTCCATAAAGTTAGCAAGAAACAAAAATGCCTTCAAATCTTATAAGCAATTACTAATGGAGAAAATTTGCGTACTAGTTACTTGGATAAGTATCTTTTATTAATAAATAATCATTGATTTAAGTGATATTTTTTATTTATTATCATTTATAGTAATATTATGATAAATATACCATATGTTAATGTCAATAATGCATACAATATAAATATATTATAAATGTTAAAAAAATATATTATGTTTATTTGGTAAGAAATTTACACAATGTGATAAATGTATTATTTAAAAATAAAAATTATATTATATGTGTCTTTTTATAAATTGTTTTTATGTAATATGTATTAAAAATGTATTATTATGATTATGTAATATAAAATATGTTATTAATGTAGATGGTAAATATTTTCTTAATATTAGAGGTCTTTAGTATCATTTGTTTTTTGGGGAAAATTACTCACAAAATATATGTACCCTATAAAACTATTTAATTACACAAACATTTCTTTCATATTAACTTCTACCTATAGTTTTTAAATAATTACATATTATATCACTAATTAATAATTTAATACTAGATTTCAAATTCAAATACACCTAATACATCTATTTTTGCCACCAGATACACTATGAAATAAAAACATTTAGGAAGAGAGAGAGAGGGAGAGGGAGAGAAAAGAACGAGATAGGAGGGAGGCAAGCGAGATGTGAGGGATGCGCAAGAGAGAAAGAGACAGAGTCATGTATTCTAGATACATGTGAATCACAATGGATATATGTATATCAGATATCACATCCTAGATATATTCTGAAATATAGATACATGTGTAGGGAGAGAATTACGAGCGATAGATGGTGAAAAAGAGTGATATAAGAGAGAGGTGAGTGAAAGAATCAAATACATGTGAATCCACTTGAATATAATTCATCTAAACCAAATTACATTGATTTTGACCCGATGTATTTAAGATACGTGTATTTGGATGGAGTAAATATATTTAGATCTCACATGAAATCTTGCACGAATAATAAAATATTTTAAATTTCTTTTTTATGGTGGGAGGGGTGCATGGGAGGGATGATGGTGTAGTGGGTGAGAAAGTACTTTAAATTTATTTTCAAAAACATATAAAATTTCAATTTTCTTTTCTTTTTTTTTTTTTTGGGTGGGGGTGGGAGTTAGGGGTGGTGGTGGGGAGAGATAGTAATACTTTAATATTAACTTTTACTGAATATAATAATTTCCATGACCCACATGGTCTATGGCCCATCACCTATCCTACGACCCATAGGTCCTTTTTATAGAACCCTTGGTCCAAAATTTCTTTTAGTCCCATCACCATTATACGACCCATGGGCTATGGACCATATAGGATCTTATACTGTAGTCACCAAAATACAAGTCTGGATCTCCATCTATGAGCATTTCCTATGGACCTTCCTATCGTTCCGTAGACCTTCATATAGAACTTACATTTTCAATTTTTGCAAAACCTATTCCACGACCACTCAAAGGACTACATGGCCTTGTATGGTCCATTGGTGGACTCATTCAAACAAAAACCAACAACTTTTCTGCAACATTCCTTTCAAATTCAACTTACAAACTTGTGAGGTGTAACACCGTAGGCCTAATCCTTCGCGAACGCGAACTTCCCTCCATAATTATGGAGGCCAAAGGCTTGAGCGTTCGTGAATGGGGCAAGGTTCTGCAAACACAAAGGTCAAACATTCCATCCATCCACAGTAGCAATTGAGGCCATAGGAACACAGAGGCTAAACTCCCCTACCCTTTGCAAATATGGACAAAGCTCCGCAAACATAGAGGAGCAAACCAACACCAAAACACAAATTATTCACAGTTTGTACCTTCAGATTTATTTGAAATCTCGTGCGCACAAACGAGATATGTTGCTTGACTAAATTTGAAGTTCATGACTCATTAAAACAATGAAAATATGTATTAGAGCTTTCCTTGACCCAATGCCTGTTAAAGTCAATATAAAGTATTTTCCACTCAAACAAACCAAGCTTCCCTTAGAACCTTTGGAAATTCATCCCAAATCTTACCTTAATCTAAACTCACCATCTCAATCCAACAAAGTCATTGAAAATTCATTCGAGCATTCAAAATCCAAATTGTTTGAATGTATGCATCTACTTACTTAGATGGGACCTGTTCCTCTCAACACTAATGCACAATAATTAACGAACACAGTTACTTTACGTGGAAACCTCCTTGCTCAAGGGAGTAAAACCACGACATGTTCTCAACAGGACTTTTCAACAATCACTTTCACTAATCTTCAACAAGCAAAAGCAAAAGTCGGTTACAAAACAAGAGATTAACCATCTAGTCTCTTCACTATGTAATACACCCTATCACTTAGTTGAGCATGAGCAGATAGAATGTTGCTCCCTATACTAATCCTACCTGATTAATATAGTCTTGAAGTTAAAGTCTAAGTTACCCTTAACCCAAGCCCTTACAATGAACCACTCAAGGTTGATACGTTTCTATCAAGGTGAAACGAATCCTAAAATTTGAGAACAATTACAAGCAAATAGGATACAACAATAACAAGAAGAACTGAAAACGCTTTGGCTGATCTCTTGTTGTTCTTGATGCTTGGAGAGTTTTTCCCTTGTGAATGGATGAGTATTGTCTTATATTTTCTTTGATATATATCATGAAGATTCATTATCCATCAAACAAAACAACCTAGTCGATTTTGATTGGTGAGTACAATGCTCTTCACCAACCTCCTTGATGTAGACAACCTTTACAATTGTCCAGTACTTTTTACAGCTGGTGAGTCTCTTATCACGAAAATTGATCAATGTCAACTCTTGGTCTAAATACACTTAACTTCACACTCAAGAGCTCAAATCCACATAAAGACTTTGAAACTGATGACGAAAACACTCCTAGACCAAATTCTGCATTCTAGAGCTAATGAAGTTTTGTTTCCAAACTCGTAGATCTGGTTGTTGAAAAAAGTCATTCTTAACAACTTAAAGTCTCCAAAATGTTAAATATTTTGAATGAACCAACCTCGTAAATGGATTAGACATGCTCGAGGCAACTATCGAAAGAGGTAAACAATAATTTTTCAAAAATTTCAAAAAAGACGTTCTGGGTCATTACATGTAATTACTTGGTCAACAAATGATTGGACGTAATTGACATAGGTAGTTACACTCACCTATTCTTACGGAGGGATTGTGAATACTGCTAATTACATGATATAGTTACAAGTTGAAAACCTCTTTTTATTTCCGTATCTTTTTTTTTAAATATGTTTTTATTTATATTATTTTGAATTTTTGTAATTACATGGTATAATTACAGAAAACTCATATGCTGATTATGAAAGCTATTATTATATGCTGGAAGGACACAATTGATCAAGTCAGGTATTTTTGTTATTCAAACTTACTAGGCACAAATATTTGTGCTTCCTAAAAGCATCCTAAAACTAGTTGAAATTGTTTGTAGAACATTTCTGTTATTTATTTATTGTGTAGTAAGAATAGCAGTTTGTTTAACTAGTCTTAGCTTGCAGGTTAGTATAGAATGAGAAATAGGTGGTCACCATCTATTTGGTTTTGTATTTCCAATATTTTGGTCTGAAAGGAATGAAAGTTGCTTTACCAAAAAAAACAAATCTCTTTCAAGAGTCGCATTAATCATTTTCCCAAGTAATTTGATTTATTATATTTACTATTCTTTTTTTAGTTATGAGTAGCTAAATTTGTAATTTGGGTTATGGAACTTAGAATAGGGATGATAATTCTGAACACTTTGCAATAAATATCTTTCTTGAAGGGATGAAATCATCGTGTATTAAATTCCTTTCGTACTTAATATTTTTTTTGAATGATTGACAACATTCTAAAGAACTCGTATCTATTCTGACTTGCTAGGACCATAGATGTACAGATTAGGAATATGGATCATTAACCGATATTTTGGTGTTACCAGCCACCATCTAATAACTTGAGCTCGAGGAAGGATAGTTTACTTGAGACTTTTTATGAATGACCAAATTAATTTGACATCCCAAGTGTTAAAAAAGGACTTACGGTGATATTCTCTTAATTCGGTCGAGAGACTTAAGAAGATAATTTAAATTTATCAGTTCTGCATAATGAATTGATAGTATAGTACATGTTTAAGTTTCAATATGTAAGAACTATAATTCTAGTTCGCATTTATTATTGATACAAATCCAAGTTGTTGCTTTGAATGTCAACTTCAAATTATAAAAAAATTCTACTATGCTCTTTGTGGGATTCGACCACAACCTATAATTGAGTCACTACATTTTGCATCGACTGCTTTAATCCGTAAACAGTGAGCGTTAGTGAAGCCGAAGAATGAGCTATACAAACAATATTTGACATGACAGGGAAATGTAGTTCACATATAAACATTTATGTTTATAGTTCGAGATTCTGTAATATTTTACAATCACACGATGAGTAATTTATTTTCGGAGTTTTAAGTACCAAGGTACTTGACAAATGCATAAACAAGGAGAAAGAAAGAAAGAGCGAGATCATTTTGTTCGTTTTATTAGACTTTAACGATTTCAAACCTTGTACGATCATCCTGTAAAGTGCAATGAGCGTCACCAACCTAAGCCATGGCCATTTCCGATCCCAGGTTCATGATAGCCAATATTCTCAACAGCACCAACGGTCTTGAACAATCTCCTCTTGTTTATCTCTTCTACAAGAGAACGATGCAGCAATTGACTACGTATATCAACAAGTGACCGTACCTTCGTCAATTTTGGGCGTTGATTATTCATTTGCATTGTGTTCTGATTCTTCGACAACAAGCTTGTTTCAGGACAAAACCTTGTACTACATTTGCTTATCTGCTGAGTACACTGAGATTCTGCTTTCTTGGAACTCATACAATCAGCATCATTTTCATGAAAGTTTACGTTGTTGTAGGACTCGTATGAGTTCATCGAGCATTGAGAACTTGAATCATCATACAATTTCAACTCATCTGCAATTAGCATGGAAAAAAAATAAGAGTATGGAACATTGGAAATAACTTAAACAGGGAAGAATAAAGCACACAAACCTTGAAGCCAATCATGGTCTAATTTCCCTTGATGGAATGTGGACTTATATGAAGGGAGGAGACCAGGTAGAGAAAGTTGGGAAGAAGAGTGGGAGGAATTGTAATAGAAAGGATGGGGAGTGTTTTCATCATCATCATCATTATCATCGTTTTCTACGTAGTTGAAACTATGTTGTTGTTCATAATTCTGAAGAGAGCGCGAGTTCTTCCATTCTGGAATCAGATCAGAAATCTCAGTGTCAATCATATCAGCAATTTGAAGAGGATCCCAATCTGTTATGTCCAACTCCTTCACCATTTCTGCAGCCACTTCCATTGCTGTGTCACTAGAAATGTCGAAAGGGAAAAATATGTTCCTCGCTTGCCCTACACGTAGACAAGTTCAATCAGTACAAGTCCTAACTAAGTACTTGTGAAGAATAAAAGGTGAAGCAATACCATTCTTTTGAAATATTTGTACTTTGAGAAAGATGGTATAATCTTCAGGATTCATTGTTCCGGTGATTGTCATGTTTGTACCATCTAGTACTGAATCATCAGGCTGAAAAGGTATAATTTCATTCTGTTTTTCGTTTGGCATATACTTTTGACATGACAAATTTATGGCTGGAGGTAAATCTTCATGTTCATCAACAGCAAGGAATGGATCCCTTAATAGCTCAGAAGCAGATGGCCTTTCAGAAACAGGACTCAAACATCTTCCAACAAATCTTTGGGCTTCTGGATCATTTATCTTGTAAAACGCTTTTGGTAGCTTTCCCTGTTGATCAAAATATTTTTCATTATCAGTGTGATTTAACAGGTTAACGATATAATACGAGTATTGATAACCAACACTCTATATAAATGTAACAAAATGTTTTAGCGACTCTGGATGCAATGACATTAACTCAATTGTTGTTAAACGTTTTTGAGGCGATAAATATTACTGTTAAAAAGAAAATCTATTCTCACTATCTGTCCATTTTGCTGATGTGAACTATTATATATGGAGTTATGTGCAACTATTTATACTTAAAAGTAATCTAATTGTGTAAATATTTGATACGAAAATAAAATGTGGAAACCACATTGATGATCTTACTGAGGTGACTTTCTTGTATATTTGAGCTGGATTTGAACATTCACTATAAGGATACTCGGAAGTGAGCATTTCTAACACACACATCCCAAAAGAGTATACGTCAACGAGTTCATCATAATCCTCTTCATATAGTTCTGGTGCCATAAACTCAGGAGTACCTAATATAAGCAGTAATAATAACAAACAGAATCAGTAGTCTTGGCCACAAAGTATGGAAAAATAGTAAAGTCAGGTAATGTATCACCTATGACACTATGAGCATGGTGTGATCCACAGAGTATGGTTGCTAATCCTAAATCACCAATTTTGACTTGGCCAAGATGTCCATTTACAAAGATGTTGTCGCACTTGAGATCTCGATGTATAACTGGAGGATCATGACAATGCAAATAAGCAAGACCATTAAGGATTTGACATCCCCAATTCTTAATTGCGTGTATGTTTAATCGCTTGTATTTGTGTCTATACCTACATCAGTAAACACACGTGCGGTGTTATGATATAGTTGTCAGTGTATATAACTTAAAACTTTTCCAAGACGTGGAACAAAGGTTATTACTCTCTAAGGGTGCCAGAGGTAAACATTTCAGTAATGAAGTTGAAGGTTCTGCCTTCAACATTGATCCAAGATGCATGGAATTTCATGATGGCTTCATGATCAAGTTCTTTGAGGAGATGGACTTCTGAGTAGAGCCTTTGTAATTCTTCAGGTGACCTAAACATGTCATTGAGTTTCACTTGGTTCCAAGCTACTTCCATTCCTAGTAACTCATCAAATGCTCTGTATACTATCTTGGTTGCTCCTTTCCCAAGGATCTCTTTGTACTGCAAAAGAACACATCAATAAATACTTTCTCTGTCCCTTTTTCATGTAAGATAGTTTAACTCGATACGAAATTTAAGAAAGAAATGAAGAATTCTAAAATATGTGGTCTAAAATGAGTATTAGAAATTTGTATGCTATAAATAATTTTATTAAGATAAAATAGACATTTTAAAGTTAAATTGTATAAAAATATGTTATTTTTTTGGGACTGACTAAAAAGGAAAATAAGTCATATAAATTGGGACAGATGAAGTAATTAACTACGCTCCATTCCAATTTAATTGTCTTACTTTTTGTTAGTCGGTTTAAAAAAGAGTGTTTCTTGTATATTGGGACAAGGTACAAGTACCCCTTAAACTATAACCAATATCACAAAAACACACATTAACTAAATTAAGGTTCTATTACTCCTAAATCCATTTTTTATGTAATTTTATACACTTTTTTAACTTATGTGACATCCAAATATCTCCCACGCGCTTCAAGTGCATGGGGTCACGAAGTATGCTACGTAAGCCAAAAGGTGTACAAAATTAAAAAAAATGAATTCAAAAGGATAATAGGACCTTAGTTTAAGTAAGATGTGTCTCTGAGATTCCGGGAGGGATATACTTGCTTCTTATCCCTTCTATATTTAGTCTAATTTTAACATTTTAAACCACAAGATGTAAAGAACTATACAAATATATTTAATTTAAGATCACAAAACTTAAATTTTATTTATTTATTTCTTAGCAGTCAAACTGAAAACTTCAAATGAAACATAAAAATGTACAATTTATCATGAATATCAACCATATATGAATTTGTATTGTTCGCGCCACTCCATTTAACTTGTCACATTATAACAGTATAATTATAGTTAATTTCTCTAGAACCAAATGTATATATCCTCCAAAAGTCAATTTTCTAGCTAGCCGAAGATTTGTTACTTTATATAGGCTATCAATCTATTTTTTATAGACTAGAGACAAGGTTTTCATGTCCTCCTCATGTTATTTCCTTTGTGCATAACATAATATTGTAGGGTCAAGCCAAGCCCTCTATACCTCTACAACCTAATTATGATAGATTAATATAAAAAGGAAGGGGGAAAAAATCCAAAAAGTCAATGAGCCAAAATCCCTATAACACACAAGTTTGTCACCTACCAAAACAAAATAAAAGGAGGAATATTTTTATCATCACGGGGAGAACCACCTTCTGTAATATTAACAAATAAAATTTTTATATATATATATTCTACAAGTCAACTTGCTTCTTAATTAATTAATAATGATGAGGTCGGCCATTTTAATTTGGATGTTTTCAACCAACATTTGCCGCCCTATATCATGCTATTTCTGAGGATAATCAAAATGGCAATTTATAAATAGTCATGTAGGACTAGGTTGAGCCACGTTTCAATTATTTCCATAGCTACCTATTTAATTTTTACCAGCATAAGCAATAATGCCCACTGAAATTTAGAAAATAATCGCCAATAATTAATATTTTAGTTTTTTTTATCTAATTACCAGTCCTCATTGGAATATTGTAGTGTACAAGCATCTAGTTTTCCTAGATTTTATTTTCTTTCATTCTTATTGATAGATTTGTTACTTCGTTAGGATTGGGATGATAAAATTTATAGCCCTTTGCTTGTACTTAATTATCTCTATTGAGAATTTTTCCTAGTTTTCTATAGTTTTATTTGTTAATTAATATAAATTTGTTACCTCTTAAGAATTGATATGATAAGATCTAGCTCCTTTACTTATATTTATCTTTATTGGGAAAAAAATATTTCTAATTAAATTCAACTAAATGCTGTCCAGCAGTAAAAGATTTCCACCCAAAAGAAGTATGACAAAAGAGCTATGAACTTTTAAACGCAAAAACAAGAAAATTAAATGAAAAAGAAGAGAAGTGGACTTTTCATTGGTCTATAGAGTAATTCTCAAAGAGATCAATGATTTAAATTTAATTTATCAAATTGATGATAAAGTGCAAAACAACAATATATATGAAGGAAAAAAAGATATGAAAAACTTACACGTCCATAGCGTTTAGATGAATCCACTTCCACATACTCCAACTCCAAATTTGTTCCATTAACATCAAGCATTTCATTCATCCCAACTTTAAGCATGTTCAACCAAATCCTTATACATACACAAAGAAGCAAACAACTCCAACAAAATATATTTAACAAGCAACTACTTTCTCTCTCTCTCTATATATATATGATTATCACTAAACTTTATTAGAACAAAAACACAAAACTAATGTAGTTTCTCTTGATGTAATTAAAAAGATAATAGATAAGCTAATGCTATTGAATCCGAGGCTTTCCTTCATGATTTTCATAAGAGAAAACGCCAAATAATAACCAAAAGAGCCTTGAGTAATCAATCCTTAGCATAATCCAAGACATGGCTACAACTTCACGTGAAAACTCGTAATCCCCACAAATCATTTGGAATAAGTCTAACACAAAAGAAAAAGCACTATAAGAGGTGAGGATGCAATCAACAAATCAAGGGAATATAACTAAATTAAAGTAGACAACAACTTTTCAATAGGAATTTTAAAAAGTGGGGTACTTTTTGACAACAAATATAATTGATGGGATTCTAAACTTGAAAAATCTATGGCCATGTTTTGGAAGTGACATTTTTCTTGAGTGGCGGATGATAATCACATAAATGAGATTTTGGACCAGAGAGCGATGTGATCGAATATGGAATAACTAATAAAAAGAATAGAATTTGAGAGAAAAGAGATGGAGAAAACTTTAATCTTGTGTTTGTGTGAAATATTAGGGTTGAATTAGAGGGATTTTGTAGAAGAAGACTTTTGGGATTAACAAAAGGGTGGGGTGTTTATGGTGAAATATGGCCTTTTTGAGATGACTTTATTACTGTAACACTGTTGACCTTTTGTGTATATCCCAATGTGTAATTTTTTGTTTAAATTTTCCTTTTATTTCCAATTTGGTCATATGTCCTTTTTTGTTATTATTTCTAGTAAGTTTTATTTGGAAACAGTTTTAGGTCAACTATAGAAGTTAGTACTTAGAAACGATTGGCCAAGCTTTTTTAATTTATTAATTATTAATGGGGTCTCTAAATTTGTCATATCATTATTGGTACCTTTTAAGCAAGCATTTTCTTTTAAAACTTATTCTCTTTTTTTTTAATGATTTGTATCACAATCTCATTATTAGTTCATTAGAAATTATAAATAACTATTTTTCTTTTCTACTATATTAGAAGAGTGGAGGTACTAACATGTGTGCTTTAGGTCATAAATTCATTTTCTTGAGGACGGTTTTGTCATTGCAACTAATAGTCCTATTCTTAATATTATTCCACATGATTTTGGTTGCAATCTCAGTGTTATAAATGACTTTTATGCCAAATTCTTCATTCCTATGTTAAGTTCATCCTTTGTGATCTTCCCCCTTTACTTACCCATAAACTACACATTTTTCCTTTTCTTTTTATATAAATTGATGGAACATTATTCCCAAAAGAAATAATATGATGTGATGAAGACGATGAATTAGTACGATTTAAAAGAAGGAGATGAACACAAAAATGCAATTTTGGAAATTTCTAATGACATTTTTCTCATTAGTGTATAAATTATATACAAAATACTGGCCAATAATGTCAGTGTTGTAACTAGCTTAGAGTTGAAAATTTGGCTACCTTATTCTTGGAGTCATTTTCCGTACGATAGTGTATATTCGATTGGTCATAATTTATGCGACCTATGAATAATATGTTGTAAATATATATTTACTAAAAATATTTTAGTTACTCACATCATAAGTAATTGATTCTTTCAAATTGACATTTAAAAAATGATTTTCATTTTTCGCACAAATATATATATATATATATATATATATATATATATATATATAGATAGATAGATAAATACACACAAATATATATCAAGATAAATATTAAACCGTATATGTGCCGACATTATTCGTCTAGGTTTATTATATATTAGAGATCTATAGTTATATTTTGAATAGATATAATTAACACTGAGAGATTTTATAGTTATATTTTGAATATAGATAATTCATTATTACTATTGTTTGAGATGCTAAGCTAAAAAGGGAAGGAAAAAAAAAGCTTGAGTATGACTTTTTTTCGTTTATTTCCAACTACTGAGTCTATCTGTGCTTCGCTATTTGTGCTTCGCGCAGTGTAAAATATATATTCAAATGGTTATCCAGCAACGGTTATACGATCCTGGAAATATATTATTTGTTGCAGCAGTTATGACTGTTGCAACATATTTTTGAATATAATATAAAAATTTTAAATAAGCCATGTTATCATCCGTATAACTGGTGGCAAGACCACCAGTTGTACAAATTTACTCGATGAGGCAAGAGGCCATGATACATGTCATGCACCTGTCCCTTTGTCATCAGATCATCATCCGTCTAATCCTCTAGAAGATCTTAGCCTCCCTATTGCTATTCATTATGGTACACATAATTGTAAATCCACTTATTTCATTGTTATTTTTTGTTTTCTGAGGCGATTTATCCTCTATATATAGTGTTATTTGTAGTTTTGATGATATGACAAATTTAGGGACCTTGTAAAGGTATCAGGTTCTCAACATGAGTTTTGAAGATGTAACGAAGTCAAGGACCTCATAAAGGTATCAGGTTCCCCAACATGACTAGCTTGTTGACTGCCAGCTGGAGAAGGTATAGAAAGTGGGTGCACATTTCTCAACAGCGTCAGAAAAGTCAGGCCTCTCCAACCAATGGAAAGAGTTTAAGGAAAGGGACTTGTCTCTACAAAAGTCACTTTCCTAAACATTATTCCTTAGTTTTTGCAACTTGATAAAGCATTTTCAAGAACACTTGCAAAGGCCATTGAAAATCAAAACAGAAGAATTATTCAAACAACGACTGAAATCTCAGGAGCATAAAGTGTAGTTGTTTAAGAATATATTCTCTTGGTTTTTACATTGTGAACTATTCCTAAATCTATAAAGGAATCAGTGTGTGATGTTGAAATTCTAAGTTGTCTAGAAGGGATAGCTTAGTGGGTAGAATAACTTCTACTTAGGCTTATCAAGCAATAGAGTTATTGCTTGAACGTGAGATTAAAAACTTTTTCTCACATTTGTGTAACTGGTTTTACTTTTGCTTGCAAAGATTAGTGAAATAGTTGTGAAAATCTTGTGAGACAAGTCGTGGTTTTACTCCCTTAAGCAAAGAGGTTTCCACATAAAATTATTGTGTTGTTAAACTGCATTTATTTTCTGTTCATTCTTGTTTGTGTGTCAAGGGACCTGGTCCATTGATTAATAAGTGGACGCATATATTCCAACAAGTGGTATCAGAGCAGGCACTTTCTATCTGGTTCACACCAAGAAAGTGATATCTGTTCTAGGATGGCTGCCTCACTTAATCTAGAAGAAGGTCAATCTTCAACCAAACCTCCTCGTTTCAATGGGCACTTCTACAGTTGGTGAAAAGTTAGAATGCATGATTTTCTCATGGCTGAAGACAGTGAGCTACGGGATATTGTCTTAGATGGACCATTTATTCCAATGATTGAAGAAAAGGATGGAGAAAAAACTAGGCTTGTTCCAAAGCCTAGACAAAAATATGATGAAGCTGATAAGAAGAAGATCGAAAAAGGTTACAAAGCAAATACTCTTCTTGTCTGCGGGATAGAGCCAGATGAGTTCAATCGTGCCTCAGCCTGTGAGTCTGCAAAAGAAATATGGGACTTCTTAAAAACAACTCATGAGGGAACTGAACAAGTAAAAGAGTCAAAGATTGATATGCTCACTTCTTTGTATGAAAATTTCAAGATGAAAGAAGGAGAAACCATTCATGAGATGTTCACTAAATTGTCCTCCATTACCAATGAGTTGAGAAGCCTTGGAGAACCTATCGGCATGAGCCAGCAAGTCAGGATATTGCTTCGAATTTTTCCAAAGTCTTGGAAAAGCAAGGTTGATGTCATTACTGAAGCAAAAGATCTGAAAGTGCTGACAATGGATGCTCTCATTGGAAATCTAAAGACTCATAAGATGAATCTAAATCATGATATGTCAAAGAAGGAAGTCAAAAAGGATAAGTCCTTGATGCTGAAATACAAATATGAGGAGGACTCCAGTGATGATGATATGGCTTATCTCATCAATAGATTTCAAAAGATTGTGAGAAAGAACAAAGGCTATAGAAGGGGAAAAAATGGTCCTCGAATTGCAACTCAAAATAATACATGTTACAAGTGTGGAAAAGCAAGGCACTTTATTAGAGAGTGTCCTTTGCTCAAAACTGAAAATAAGGAATATCAAAAACCAAGAGCTGACAAATAGAAGAGAAGGGACCTGGTACTCAGTAAAAATGATCGCAAAATTGTTGCTGACTATGTGGTCAAAAAGGCTCTTGCTGCATGGGGAGACTCTTCAAGTGACTCAGAAGATCCTGATGAACCAAATGACGTGTCTAAGGTGGTGGTTCATGAAGAGGAAACCATATTCAATGAAATGTTTGCTTTAATGGCTCATACAGAAAATGAAGAAGAGGACGACAAGGTTAGTGAGAGGAGCAGCAGTCAATGTTGGTATATGGACAGTGGATGCTCTAAACATATGACTGGTGACATAAAAAATTTCCTCTCACTCAAGACACTTCAAGGAGGAAGTGTCTCTTTTGGTGATGGAAAGAAGGGGAACATTTTGGGAGTTGGTAAAGTGGGAAAGTCTCTTGAAGAATCAATTGACAATGTGTATCATGTTGATGGGTTGAAGCATAGTCTTTTGAGTGTATCTCAAATTTGTGACAAGGGAAATGAAGTCAAGTTTACTTCTGAGAAGTGCACAGTGGTCAGTCTAACTACAAAGAAAGTGATTCTCACTGCCTTTATAAGTAAAAAAATCTATGTGGCCAATTTAGAAACGTCTCATGGAGATGATCTGACATGTCTTAGTGCTCAAAATGAAAATGTTGATCTTTGGCATCGTAGACTAGAGAATGTGAGCTTATCTTTATTGAAAAAACTAATTTCTAAGGACATGGTCCAAGGTTTGCCAAAGTTAAAGTTTTGTGAAAACAAAATATGTGAAGCTTGTGTCAAAGGGAAACAAATCAGATCATCCTTCAAGTCAAAGAAGCAAGTAACTTCATCAAGAGTACTGGAGCTGTTACACATGGACTCATGTGGACCTTTGAAGGTTCAAAGCAGAAATGGTAAGAAATACATCCTGGTGATAGTTGATGATTACTCAAGGTACATGGACAAGATTCCTAAGATCAAAAGCAGAGACACCTGAAGAATCGGTAGTGTTCTTCAAAATGATTCGAACTAAATTGAATCAAGTGATTGTTGGGATTAGATCTGATCATGGAACTGAGTTTAAAAACTCAAAACTGGATCAATTTTGCATGGAGAATTGTACTAGTCGTAATTTTTCTGCTCCAAGAACTCCTCAACAAAATGGAGTGGTGGAAAGAAAAACCAGAACCTTGGTGAACATTGCCAGGACCATGATCATTGAGTCAAATCTTCCTCAAAGTTTCTGGGCTGAAGCTGTCAACACAGTATGTCATGTTACTAACAGGTGTATGATAAGGGCTGTTTTGAATAAAAATCCCTATCAGTTTCTCAATATTAGAATGCTTATGTTGAGCTATCTTAGAGCGTTTGGCTGCAGATGTTTTGTGCTGAACAATGGAAAGGATGATCTGGAAAAATTTGATACTAGAAGTGATGAAGGAGTGTTTGTTGGATATTATTCATCAAGTAAAGCATACAAAATTTTCAGCAAAAGAACTCAATGTATTGAAGAAAGCATTCATGTTGTGTTTGATGAAGATGGAA